GACATTTTTGCTATAATAAAACTGGGTTGTTTTTCCATGTACTTGGATTCATGCGTTATATTTTTTTTTTATATAAGTTCAAAAAAATAGTTAAAGCAATTATCTGACATATGCATTATGCTTTTGAAAATATAAAAACTAAGAATACACAGAAAGCATTGAATACTCTGAATGACATCATACACACATGAAAAACACAAGTGTGATGAGGAACAAAGCGTGTTTATGTGCCTGAGCCTGTCACGGCCCCGATCTAATGAGACGACGCCACAAAGACAGCAGATAAGACCATCAGAGAGATTGTAATGCATTCATCTAGAGACTAATTCAGAATTAAACAATGGAAACGAATAAACAAAACTGATCTCAGAGCAGCTGCCGGCAGAACAATCATCCACAGAAGGACGTTCCCATCAAAGTTGCCAGATGCAAAAACACAAGCAAGCTACGAATGCTAAACTAGTGAACTGCCCAGTCACTCTTAGAAGAAAAGATTCTATATAGAACCTTAAAAGTATTTGGAACCCCTAAAAGGTTCTATACACTCTTAAAAAAAAAGGTTCCTCTGGGTTCTATATAGAACCCTGGGGTTCCATACTTGGCCAATAGAACCTTTTACCAACAAAAAAATGGTTCTATATAGTGAGTTCCATATATGAAGCGGGGGATGGAACCATTTCTGGTTCTAAATAGAACCATTTCTTCTAAGAGTGTACTATAGTGCCTACTATTATACTTCAGAAATAGTATGTGAAGCAATTTCAAATAGTATTACTGTATATGCTATATGATTGTCACACAAACTCAATATGTTGATTTTTTTTGTGCATTCACATATTATTTTGTGTAAAAATGCCAATGTTAGCAGTGCATCAGAAAGATATGTAAAATTAAAACAGTAGATATTGCTTTGAATGTGCATGCATTGCTGGAGTGAAGGACTTTTATTAGACACAAACACTCTTTAAAACTACCGCCAGAGGGCGCCACATCTTATTATAGCTGCAACACAGAAAATCTTCAATTATTGTGGCATGATGAATTGAATGTATATTTTATTTTGAAATATTTTGAAGAGTACAGCTCACACAGTACGTCTATAGTGCGAGTCTGGCTTGTGTTTTTATAGTGCTTAACAGTTTATAAAAAGCAGGAGATAATTGGCTGTCTGGAGGTCTGAATATTTTTAATAGACCCACATGGAAGATTTCACTACAGCTTTAGCCCGGGGCTAGTTGTCACATCCGTATGGCAGTAAAAATTGGATTTTGAGACATGTTTATTTTGTCACATTAGTTTTGTATGTTGCTTCCGAACACTTCATTCAAAATGCATATATTTTGTGAATTACATCCTTTAAACTAATATATTTGTGTAGCTGCAGTTAAATAAACATATTCGTATCAAGTATTTTATATGATTTTGAGCATTTTTTTTCCAAATATATATATATATAATTAACATTTTTTTATTATATTTTGATGGGTTTTTTAATTATCAAAATGTATAATTAATTACTGCATGTAATTTAATTACATTTTTCTTTAAAAAAGTAAAGTCAGGGATTACTAATATTTCAGAAATTGAATTACAGTTCCTTCTGGTTTAATCACATTAAATACTGCATAGACTATATAAATCAATAGTGGATTTAACATCAACATTTTACATCTAATGTTAAAGGTTTATATTTTTAAATGTAACCTTTTGGCTGTACACACTTTAAGAACAATTTATCCAATTTTATTTTTTTATTTGAAAGTATTAAAAGAGCAGTTGTCTCCTTATATTGCTCAACTGGTCAGGGTTGATATGGGATTTAAGTCATTTGTAATAAGTAATGCATACATTTTAGAGAGAGTAATTAGTATAGTAATCTAATTACACTGTTGAAGATCTACTTACCCACTCTAAATAATGCTGGGCTGTTTTAACCCAAAATTGGGTCAAATATGGACAAACCCAAATGTTGGGTTAAAAGTTTAATTTAAAATTTTAACCCAACTTCAACTTTCACTTTCAACTGTACATTTTGGGTTTGTCCATATTTGACCCAATTTTGGGTTAAAACAGCCCAGCATTATTTAGAGTGTATACGTATTAATATATATATATGAAGAGTTCAGATGCAAAAGCCTCTAAATGCCATTTGAAATTTTCTTCTTTAATGATGATTTTTATCAAACTTGTATATTTTATTTCATTAATTTCACTTAAATAACAATTAATAAGTAATTATCATTGGCATTTAAGTGAAATTACTGAACTTAAATATACAAGTTTGATAAAAATCATCATTAAAGAAGAAAATTTCAAATGGCATTTAGAGGCTTTTGCATCTGAACTCTTCATACACACTTTAAAAAAATGCTGGGTTGTTTTAACCCAAATGTTGGGTTAAACATGTAATTTAAACATTTAACCCAATGGCTGAGTTTGACCCAAAGTCGGGTTAAAACAACCCAGCATTTTTTAGAGTGTAAAGCCAATGCTTCGATATTTTGTATATTACATATATAGTCAAAAAATATATATTATTTTGACTTATAAAGAAACCCACTCTGAAAAAAGCATAACAACTAGTCTTACTACAGTGCACAAAAATAAGAACCAGCAAAGATAAGCATTCAGTATCAACAGCGGCTCTAAACGCGACTGACATGCAGCATCTCCAGTATAATCCGGGGTTTTCACATCAGCCAAGACACAAATCCACCAGAGATCATGGTGCCGGTAAACAGGACACGTGTTAACCGCTGACTGACCCGTCTACAGCTCGCTTCAGTGCGTAATAATGCAGATCTGCACGTTTAGAGACGACAACAACTCCTGCTTCGTATTACACTATTGTTTTTTATCTTACAAAAGCGGGTTGTGGAAATGATAAGAAAAAGCAATGGTTCGTCCACACAAACACAGTTCTGAGTTTGCTAGCATGCTAACAGAAACAAAAACTAGCGAGAACACAAATTCAGTGATTATAATGGACTTGAAGTATATGTGGCAAGACACTTATTATGAAAGTGCAACAAGACCTGATGAAAGCATATGTGCACACATACTCAGATAAAAGCATTGTTGTCCAATGTCTGGAAGCATTTTTTATCTCTTGACATCAAAATAGCTTTTAATAGGCCATCTCCCGAAGGTCAGAGTGGCAGTATCAGCTGTCGGACGCTCTATGTTTAGCTAAGCCGACATATGGGCAACTTCACATTCCTGTCATTTTCTTACAGAGATTAATATTGTCTACAGTTAATATTTTAATCAGACTTTGGGTCAAACACACAGCAAATCAATCTGTCAGAATAAACTATCATCTCACAAATCATCGTGTTTAGCCTATATGAATGCAAATAATTATTATACGAAAGGAAAACACTGAAACCCTTGTTATTAATAAACAGACTTATGAGAGATAACGTAAATCTTCTGCAACTTCAGTGCATTATCAGTTGTTTCATTGAAGCATCGACTTACTTTCAGATGTTTCTTCTATACAACACAAATAAATGAGTCAATCACACAATAAGAAGTGTAGAGCTATAAAAGTTATATTAATAGCAGATCATTTGATATTAGAGGAGTTGGATGAGAAATGTCTGACTTTGGTTTCTTGGCCAGTTTGAGATATCTTTCAAAAACCAATGCAATTATTTTACTAAAGGCTTTTTTCAGGCGAAACATCTGAGAAGCAGCAGTCTTAATGTGCTAAAAATGATTTTGTCTTATTTCCTAGTATAAATAAACATATATATATCGATACATGTGTAGAATTTCTGTCTCTGAAAACAGGATTATACAAGCTTTAGCCCATAGTGATTTTAGCTCTGTTAGGTTTACATCTAGACTGTGGAGACATTGGCGCACCTGTTTGTATATTGCAAATGAAAGGTAATGAATTTTGTATTTTATATTTATTTATTGCTTGTTGTAACTGGTGTTATGTTTTTGTTTTTTGTTTTGTTTTTTGTACTATGGACCTTTCTTTTTGAGTCCTGAATAAAGTAATATTATTATTATTATTATTATTATATATATATTCAATTTTTATTGTTCTTTACCTGCATTTTGTACTTGCTTTTAATTGTTTTGCCTGTAAAGCACTTTGAACTGGATTCATTTGTTTGGAAAAGTGCTATATAAATAAAATTTGCTTGCTTGCTTTGCTATATATATATATATATATATAGTACTTGTTTTCCCTTAAAATTACTCCATTGGCTTTTTTATTTTTATTTAATTTGATCAATTGTTCAGAAAACAAGACATAATGTCTTCAGTTATTGCTTCTGAAGTAAATGTATATTGATTTTGAGTACAAATCTTTTTCCGAGTCAAATCGTTCGTTTCGTTTGTTGAATGAACCAAATGACTCGGAAAAAGATTCGTTCATTTTGATGAACGAGTTCGAACAGGAGAGTCACAGAACAGAGCAAGGCGAGCATTTGTGCTTATAAAACTTTTTTATTTATTTATTAAATGAGCGCTCGTTTCGCTTGATAAGACCCTTATTCATCGTCTGGTGTCGTTTAAAGCCCTTTGAAGCTGCACTGAAACTCTCATTTGGACCTTGAACCGTTTGGACCCCATTGAAGTCCATTATATGGAGAAAAATCATCAAAAACCTTATTTTCTTTTCGACTGAAGAAAGAAAGACATGGACATCTTGGATGACGTGGGGGTGAGTAAATTATCAGCAAAAGTTTTTTTAAAAGTGAACTACTCCTTTAAGCAAAAGGACACATTTAATTTGCTCTCACAATACAGTCACGGAGAAACCGTTGAGATCTTATTGTGGACACGTTAAAAAGATGGACATTTTCTTTTAATGAGATTGCTTTTTCTTCTTTATAGTAAGCTAAATGAGGTTGTAAGCATCGTGAGGAACCACAGCTGTCTGATAAGAGCCTATCAACAGCCGAGTGCTGGATAAAAGCTTCATGTGTGTGTGTGTGTGTGCTAATAATATCACCCAGTAACAGGCCGAGGATGAACAATAAGAGGGTGTCTTAAAAAAGAGAGGCATTGTTCTCGAGCATCACTTTGAAGAACATTTCTGCACTGCAAAGGTAAGTGTATTCACTTTGCTTCCATGTTGAGTAATGTTAACTTTAATATATGTCAACTTTTATCGTCCTCCATGTTAATATTTCCAGTCAGCAAATGTAAAGATTTAAAAACCAACCATTGGAAAAACATATTCAACATTTTTAATGGAGACGTCAATGTGTCGGGCATGAATATTAATCTATTAATCTTAATAATCTTTCCGATTTTTCTCTCTCAGATAATCACAATCTGATTTACTTTTGGCTTTTCAATATTATGATGCATAAAACCTCATAGCAAATAATGCATAATGGTTTTAAAACCAAAACCACCTTTGGTGTTTGGAAAAACCAATCCGGATAAATGATGACGTGCTCTTTTTCGTTTTATTGCAACATTTCGAATATTGTGATAACAATGAGAACATCACTGAGGGGAAACGGGCCGGGTTAAGTCCTGAGTCTATTTATGGTGCATTGCAAGTGGATATGGGCTGGAGAAAGCTGGGATTGTTATCTGTGTGGCATAGTTACCATGCCCATATAACCACACCATGATAGGCATCTGCCAACACCTCATTTCCTAGGGGACCACTTCAGGACTCTCAAGTGGTTAACAGATGACTAACAGACTTCACATCAATCAATTAGTGTCAGTTCATCCATTTTAAAAAGCAGCACTTAGATGCACGACAAATTATATATATATATATATATACACACTACACTACCGGTCAAGTTTTAGATCGGTAAGATTTTTTATGTTTTTAAAAGAAGTCTCTTCTGCTCACCAAGGCTGCAATTATTTGATAAAAAAACAACAAAAAAACATTAATATTATTACAATTTATAACAGCGGTTTTCTATGTGAATATATAGTGAAGTGTAATTTATTCCTGTGATCAAAGCTGAATTTACAGCATCATTACTCCAGTCTTCAGTGTCACATGATCCTACAGAAATTATTATAACATGATGCTCAAGAAACATTTATGATTATTATCCATGTTGAAAACAGTTTTTTACATTTTTATCTCAGGATTCTTTGATGAATAGAAAGTTCAAAAGAACAGAATTGATCTGAAATGGAAAGCTTTTGTAACATTAATCACTACCATTCAATAATAATTTATTTTTTATTTTTGGGGGAAAGAAATTAGAAAATACTTTTATTCATCAAGGATGAGTTAAATTAATCAAAAGTTACAGTAACGACATTTATAATGTTAGAAAAGATTATATTTTTAAATAAATGCTGTTCTTTTGAACTTTCTATTCATTATAGAATTTTGGGGGAAAAAACGACTGTAAACGACTGTTTTCAACATTGAAAATAGATTGATTTCTGAAGGATCATGTGACACTGAAAAATGATGTGTAATCAGCAACAGTAATGATGTTGAAAATTCAGCTTTCAAATTACATTTTAAAATATATTAAAATAGAAAACAGCCATTTTAAATTGTCATAATATTTCACAATATTAATGTTTGTCATTATTTTTTTCATCAAATAAAGCAGCCTTGGTGAGCAGAAGAGACTTCATTTAAAAACATAAAAAAATCTTACTGATCTAAAACTTTTGACCGGTAATGTATATATATATATATCTCATAATAACGGCGATGATTTCAAGGGTCAAATACGTGAGATTCCCGTTGCTGGAGATAACGCCGTCTGATTAGCACACTTGAAGAGCCTCCCAAAGGTCCTGCCCTTTCCAAACAAATGCCTTTATTTTTATCTCCTAGGTTGAATCGCCATTGTAAAGATGCCCGAGTGAGTATACTGTGTCTCTGCTTTCTGTTGTTCGTCATCTTAGACAAAAGAGCTCTATTCTTGGATTTGGAGGCTGTGTTGTTTTAACTTAAGGCCTCAGTATTAAAGGTGCATTGCGCAAGACTCTGAGTGTTTGCAGAACTACGCCCCCTCTGGCGACAAGCGAAACTGCAACCAGAGGTGCACGCTCACGGACCACACACACACATAACCAAAGGAGCATCTGCCGCACAAATCTTTTGTTTACAGTCAGGTAATAAAGTTATAAATCTGCAAGTCATTTTAAATATATGAAAGGAAAGGCATTTGAGTAAATTACACACTTGTGTGTGTGTGTGTGTGTGTGTGTGTGTGTGTGTGTGTGTGTGTGTGAGGGGAAAACTTCATTTTTTGTTTCCATGTTGAACTGTTTTATGTGTTTACTGTATCCACTTATGATTGTATTATTATGGAAACACGTTCATGAACAATTTAAGTTATTACTATCCCGTTTGAGCCGTCCGGAGATCTCACCATTTGTCGAAAGCTTCCCGATGTCGACTTTCGTCTTATTCCGACGCCTGGCACTAGACAAACGTTTTATTTTCTTTGTCTTACGTGGAGTTTGCGTCGGGGTTAGGAATGAACTACGAGCCGGTCTCTTTGAATCCATCTTCTACTTTTGTGGAAAGTTGACTAAAGTTGTGTCGCTCGAGTTGTCTTCGCTGATACGGAGAATGGCGGCGAATACACAAACCTGCCAGACGAGCGTGAACGCGCATGTCTCAAATCCGTCCCGAATCCCTCTTATTCATTTTACAGTACAGGATTAGGCAATCGCAGTGATCAGAGAAGGGCTCATTCAGCCCATCAGGCAATCAGTTCAGCATGTATGGGTCAGAAAAACGGCTATTTTCATCATGAAATGTTGCGCAATGCACCTTTAATAAACGAAACCTTATTGTAAAGAGTTACCGAAGCGTTTGCATTGGGGTCTTAGACTTTTGGACATTAACTTCGTTATGAATGAGGATTAAGATATTTATGATCTAATTATGTGTTTTATTCCTTTGCAGGCAAGAGGTAAGAGTGAAAAGCCGTCGTCGAATGCCACTTTTTCAATTAGTTATACAATAACAATAACACATGATATTATGAATGATAGTATTCAATATGGAGTGATGCATATATAATGAGTGCTTTATATAACCAACGCTCATTTCAAATTTGACAGAAAAAGTCCAAGATCTCTGCGTCTCGCAAGCTGATGCTAAAGGTACATTTGCAATGCAAATCATTTTCTGCAATTGTTGTAGATTCACAAATTATGTTTCTAACTGTATACAATATATTTTTTGTATTTTCTGAGGAAAAAGTAACAAGTTTGCCTGTGCAAAATGCCACATTTATGGCTGTTTGCTAAAAAAAAAAAAACAAATTAAGAAAGTGCATTATTATAATTGATTAAAGAGCATGTCTATGTGTTTGTCAGAGTCTTATGGTAGCTAAAGCAAAGGATGATTTAGAGCAAGAGCTGGTAGATAAAGAGGCAGAGAAGGAGAGATATCTGTCTGAGAAAACTCCTCCGATACACACGAGAGAAATGTCTTTCGCTGAGCTTCAGGTATGTCCACAACTCACAAAACTCTACTGGTATTATTATAGAATAGAAAATGACCACAATAAAACATGTTCTTCAATACGGAAGCGTATTGCATTCACTTGAAGAAACAAAATCTACTCTGTTTTTTAATGAATTATCTCAGAAGATCATTTTTCATGGAAAAAGTTTTCTGAATTAATGACTTGATTATCTAAAAAATGATAATTATCTTGTTAATTCAGAAAAACAGAGCAAAAACTTTTTTCCATTAAAAATGATCTCGTAATTCTGAGATAATTAACTTGTTATTTAAAAAAAAAACAGAGCAAAAACTTTTTTCCATGAATTATTATCTCGTAATTCTGATATAATTAACTCATTAATTCAGAAAAACAGAGCAAAAATGTTGTTTCCACAAGTGAATGCAATACGCTTCCATACTTGAATGCTATAGAATTCCAAAAAGTGCTATTTAAGCGCCATGAGACATAAATATCATAATTAAACAATAGCATGCTGTATACTGTATGTAAACTACCATGATTTTCAGCTAAATTAATAAATGATTTTGAGACAATCACCGAAGTATGGTACCGCCATACTTCTAGAAGATTAACCTTCAAAATCAGCGGCAGTCCTCTAAAAACTATTTGTTGTCTCTGTTAGGAGCTGTGCCGCGAACTACACGCCAAAGTCGATGTGGTGGACGAGGAGCGCTATGACATTGAGGCTAAAGTGCTTCACAACACAAGAGAAGTAACGTTTAGCCTTTCACTGTATATAGGCTTCAGTAACAATGCTAGGAAAATGAAAAGTGTCCTAACCAGACATGACCGTTTCCAGCATTAATTATAATTTGTCATCACATGTTAAAAGCAAAATTGCTGACACAAAATTTTTATTTGATGCTTTAATTGAGTATAAAAAATATATTTGTAATAAAAAATAATTAAAGAATAAGAGTAAAAATATTTTTTATTTTTTCAAATTCAGTTTTTTCAGTTAAAATATTTCTGGATTCGGTTTTGTATTTTTCTTTAAATTAAAATGTACAATTTTAGTAATTTATAATTTTACGTTTTAGTTTTTCCTGAAATTCCATTTTATTTTTCTGTTTACTGGATTCCATTTTAATGGTTTAATTACATTTTAATAATCCAAAAGCATATCTAATTAATTGAATTCATAAAAACAACTTTTTAGGGTAAAAAATTCTGTGTTGTGTATTAAAAAAAAAAATTCTGGCAATAAAATGAAGGTATAAAACAATAATTAAATTTTTCTTTGAATCATATGAAATTAAACAATTTTTGGTCAAACAAAGTGCATATGATTATTCCTTAAAATTAAAAAATAAAAATTTTATAGAATTTTTTTTTTTTAATCCAAACTTAGAACCTAAACAAACAGATCCAAGATGAATCCCAACTATACACAAATTTAAATACAAAATTAAATATTAAAAAGAAAGAAAATTATGTGTAAAAGTGCTAATAAATTATGCATTGCAAATGCCCTTATTGGTAATAAAATAAATGCTGGCAATAACTCATGGATATAAACGACTTTAAAGGGATAGTTCACTTTGAAATTAATGTTTGGTATGTTTTATCTTACCTCAAGGGCACCCAAGATGTAGGTGTCTTTGTTTCCACATTTTTGATATTTTTAGGTCAAACCGTTTTTGTCTATTAGTCATATAATGGAGGTCTATGGTCACCACCTCAAAGAGCATGCACAGAGAAGTCCAAACTAAACATGATTAAATGACTCGTAAATGTAAGTACACATTGATGGCCTAAGACACGAAACGAGCGGTTTGTGTGAGAAAACGAACAGTATTTATATCGTTTTTACCTCTTGTAACCACAGCCACAAAGCGCCCGCACCCTCAGATCACTTGGACGTGGCTGACTGTGATTACACGAGGTAAAAACGGTATAAATACTGTTCGTTTTCTCACACAAACCACTCATTTCGTGTCTTAGGCCAGCTAAAACATACCAAAAATTAATTTCAAAGTGAACTATCCCTTTAACACCAACTGTAAACACCAACAGACTGTGCCCAACTTGAACAGGACAGATCAGTCATCGGGAACAAATTACATTCATAATCTGGCTGACAGCCGTGTTGTGTGTTCCCGGTTTAAGAATGTAACGTTACGTAAGAACAGAACATCAGACTCATTCAATAGAAACTTGTGTATTATGAAACATGTAAACCAACCTGTTGCAGATCAAAGATCTGAACATCAAAGTCCTGGACCTGAGGGGCAAATTTAAGCGTCCCCCGCTGAGAAGAGTCCGAGTCTCGGCTGACGCCATCCTGCGCTCTCTGCTGGGGTCCAAACACAAGGTGTCCATGGATCTGAGAGCAAACCTCAAGTCCGTCAAGAAGGAAGACACAGAGAAGGTGAGCAGTGGGTCCATCTGGGCTGAAATGAAAGAGTTTATCGTTACTCAGACTGTTATTTTAACCCAATTCTGTGATGCATTTGTGTGTCTCTTTGTAGGAGAAGACAGTGGAGGTCAGTGACTGGAGGAAAAATGTGGAGGCCATGTCTGGAATGGAAGGGAGGAAGAAAATGTTTGATGCAGCACAGTGAACAAACGATCACAATCAACATCTGCAAACATGCAAGTATACAAGAGAATTCATGGCAATCAACATGAAGTCAAAATGGACCATATCTAATACATTTTTTGTCTTTTCGTAGGAAATCAGATTGGGATGAATGGACAACGCTGAATATTATAGGAATGCATACAGGCCTACTTGTCAAATACAAAATGATTTGTCAGTGTGTTCATGTCAAATTAAAAGCTCTGTGATGTGAAGTGTCAAAAACGTATTGTAAATAAATGTAAACTCCAGATATGTATCAATAATTGTCATTTCATGTGAATGTTTGTACAGTCAATGTTTAGTAAGGACTAAAGCTGATAGTGTTTTGGGGAAACTGACTAATAAAATGAAATGATAAGTAAATAATCTGGAAATTCAGTGCGCCGGTGAAAAAAATAACATTTCTAAAGGGAGTTATCATGTGTCTGTAATGGGAAAAAAAAGTATGTGAATGATAAGGCCAAAGCGACCTGCACATTTCTCAGTTTACCAGTCAGGAGTTGGTGATCATCAAGTCCTCCTGAGAACTTCGTGTTTACGAATTGGGAAGTCGTGTTCACGACGGCTGGTGCGTTTCAGTCACTTCCGTCGAAGCAAGATGGCGGCGACATATCTGATTTAATCTTGTTTTTTTAAATCTTGTTTCTCATTTAATCTTGTAATCATGTTTTTATGGTTTACAATGATGAAATAGAAAGTCTGCTGCTTCAGTAAAACCGACAGGCCACTAGGAAACTGGTGGTCATACCTGTACCAGCCGCTAGAGTGCGCTGTTTACCAGCTGCATATTTAAAACACGGTTGAAACTTAAAGAACTTTATTTTTAAGAGTTTATCTGTTTGTGTTCTTTAAGCGGGTTCTTAATAATTTCATCATAGCCTACGTTAAATTTTAAAGGATTTAAGGAATGCCTGATAAGCGAGGCCAAAACCATTCACACAAAACGCATGTCCAAACAAAACCAGTTATGACATGATGCAAAGGTTAAAAGGTGAAACATTTCACTCCTAAATGACCGACTTTCCATTTCACAAGAGAAAGTTGCAATGCATTTTTGTGATTGCCCCTCCCTGGTCACATGATTCACCTCCAAACTATGAAAGATCTGACTTTATGAGTCGCTCGCCTCGCATTACCCCTGAATTGACTGTAACATAATGATGTTTTGCTCTAGAGCTGGAGTTTCCTCAGGATTAACCGGCTGAATAGCGTTTCCATCCAAGTAAACGTCTGTGTTCATTGATCTTTCTTTTATCGAGCGACTTAGCAAATAGAGCATGTTTCGTTTCGAAAGAGCAAGTGAAGACTTGAAGATGGTTTCTTGTCAGTGTATATTACACTAATAATTCTTAATAGTAGGATTAGGAATGTTATCTATTTTTTATATTGTAGGCCTATGTTATTTCTATGATACTTTACCCACTATAACACACACACATTGTGTTTTCATGTTTTATGGGGACTTTCCATAGACAACATTATTTTTAAACTGTAGCTACATGTTTTCTCCCATTACCCTATAAACCTGAACCTACCTATCACAGAAACTTTCCACATTTTTACATTTTCAAAAAAACATCACTTAGTGTGACCTATAAGCGGTTTTCCTCATGGCATTTTACTGTCAAATGGTTGACCCTTTCAGTATAAAGGAATGTATGAAAGCAGTTCAGGTGAGGAGGGTCACCTTGAGTGTTGTTTGTTTATGTTAGTTTTTATTTAATATTCTTTATTTGGAAGTCAATAAAGATTTCACTGACTGCAAGCAGTGTCTCCTGTGTTTGCTCTGGTCATGTCTTCACAAATATGGACTCATTATGTTTATTTATTTATTATGTTGGTTTAGCACTTTCATATGACAATTTATATTAGCCTAATTAAATAAGTAGCTAAAGATTTAATATTTAAAAAGACTAACTGCACTTGGATGTTTTATAAATGTAGCCTAAATGTAAGTATGTCATTATACCTCAAACTTACACTCTTTAAAAAAATTCTGGGTTGTTTCTTTAACCCAAATATGGACAAACATTTTTAATTAAATTTTTAACCCAACATTTGGGTTTGTCAATATTTGACCCAACTTTGGGTTAAAACAACCCAGCATTTTTAGATTGAACAGTAACGCATATTTGATATATTCACTAAACAATACTGGGTTGTTTTATCCCAAATTTGGATCAAAAAATGTACAAACCCAAATGCTGGGTTAAAAATGTACCTAACAAAAATCACAGTTGAAAGTGAAAGTTGAAGTTGGGTTAAAATTTTAAATGACATTTTTACCCAACATTTGGGTTTGTCCATATATGACCCAAATTTGGGTTAAAACAACCCAGCATTGTTTAGAGTGAATATATCAAATATGCGTTACTGTTCACTCTAAAAATGCTGGGTTGTTTCAACCCAAAGTTGGGTCAAATATTGACAAACCCAAATGTTGGGTTAAAAATGTAATTAAAAATGTTTGTCCATATATGACCCAAATTTGGGTTAAAACAACCCAGCATTGTTTAGAGTGAATATATCAAATATGCGTTACTGTTCACTCTAAAAATGCTGGGTTGTTTTAACCCAAAGCTGGGTCAAATATTGACAAACCCAAATGTTGGGTTAAAAATGTAATTAAAAATGTTTGTCCATATTTGACCCAAAGTTGGGTTAAAACAACCCAGCATTTTTTGTTTCGTGATGACGTTGCAGGATGTTCCGAATAATAAATAAAAAAAAATTGTCAAGCTGAATTGTAAATTGTTAATATTGTTTGTTCAATGCATATAGCCTAAATATGTTTATTTCTCAATAAAAATAAATAAAATGCATCAAGTGCAGTGAACTTCACCGGATCCCATATTCAGGGAATAGGGAGCACTGCAGTGAACACTTCATAGGGACCGCAGACCCACTCCTGTCTGTCCTCGTCAGACTCGTGTGTTGGTTTACTCTCTGTTTACTCTGTAAAGTCTGATCTCTCATCTCGGCTCACCTGTCAAGAAAAACTGTTAATCTGTGTAATGTTGTCCTGTTTATCTAGACCTGTCAAACCATTCAACACAACCACGCTTTGAGTCAGGAGACAATATATTTATATTGGCCTTTTATACTGGATATGATCATTTAATAAAGATCAAGTTGCTGAAAGTAATAGAAATACAAGCAAATATAGCCTTTTTTTCTATTCTTAATCTTATTTTGTATTAATGACAGTGGTGAATATCAAGCTGCCACATAACTGACAACCAAACCCTATTAGAATAAAGTTTTTCTTTCCTTTCCAAGTAAAAATAATACATGTGCAGTTGTCAGACTGCATGGCAAGTTGTTTAATGGGACTAAAGAGCGTCTGAGCAGAGATCCTGAAGACAGGTGTGTGTTACGGTGTGTACCTGCGAGGTTAACATCCGGTGACCCTTCAGACGGTCAACTGAACTTCAGACGTCAGACCGGACAAGCTAAAATGTCTAGACTTTTTATAGACAAATGATGTGATTAGAGATGTGAAAGATTGATGCATCAGTGCTGCAACATTACACTCTAAAAAATGCTGGGTTGTTTTAACCCAATTTTGGGTCAAATATGGACAAACCTAAAATGCTGGGTTAAAAATGTAATGTAAAAATTTAACCCAACGGCTGGGTTAGTCCATATTTGACCCAAAGTTGGGTTAAAACAACCCAGCATTTTTTAGAGTGTATGCATTTGTTAGAAAAAACAAATAATATGCAACTATCATTCCACCTAAATATACTTTAAGTCAATGATTTTTATTGTTATGTATAAATGCATCACTCCAAAACATTCAGATCACATCATATGAGCACAGTTGTCAGCCGATCTATTAATAGACACGATGCACAGCCACAGAGAATGTGTCCAATGTTTTGTGCATGTGCAGTGATGTAAATCCTCTGAAGACAAAACATCACAGTCATGTGATCTTTGGATAATTTATATATCATTGGGGTCCAGCTTCAGGAGCAAACAGCCTTCGGTGACGGACTCGTGAGTGACCAACCTAAAGACAGGTACCATCTCTCCACCAAATGCATGATTTATTCAACCTTTTCATGTTGTCCGACTGCTATAATGACGGTAAAACTCACACATTCTTGTAATCTGCATATGAAACAGGTCTTAATCTATAGCATGTCATACAGAGAGGACGTTGAGAATGAGTAAGTGTATTTGTGTTTCATTAAACAGGATTTTGATAGATTTGAGAATAATTGCATACTCACGTTTAATCACGGACACGTTTAACGCAAAAGTTGAATTAACATCCTCATGTTGTTTGTTTCTGCAGGGAGAAAGAGGGTAAGTTTTACTCTTCTGTAAATAATGCATCTATTGAGCAACTCACAGAAGTGTCCATAACATTCATAAAAATCACACTGTAAAAAGTGAAAAGTAATATTACTGACTTGAGTAATGTAAATTTAGATGTTTGCATCAAGTATAATTTTAGATTACATGACAAAGCTACATTCAACAATATACTGAAATAGCTATGGGGTAAAAAGATGTGGCTATTATGTCATAATTATGAACTAAACTAAAAAGATGCTCAAATAACTAGTTTTCATGTAGAACATTTCACCTGTTATGCAAACCCATTTCCACCAGATATAAGGGGTGAATCATGCTATGGTAAATGATAATTTTGACAGTGTATGAATTAAAAATATTACTGCCTTAAATGTTAAGTACAATCAACAAGTAATTACATTAAACTGACTTTCTTTAGTCTTAGATAACATAAAAACGTATTTTGATGAGTTAAAACAAAAACATAACATCTTATTGATCATATTTTTACACAAAAAAAATGATATTACGTTTCGTCATTTTGATCAAAATAATAATTTTGACCGTTTCCCTTCATAATTCATAGTTTTCTCATATTTTTGACTGTCAAAGTTATGAATTGTTATGTTATATTTACCAGCATGTGTCAGAAATAAAGATTCTTTTCACACAGATTTACTGATAACTTGAACACTGATGATTGGTTTGAAACTATAAATCTATGCTATTGTGGGATAAAATGCGTATTATGTGGCGATCTTTCATTTTATAATTGGTTTAAAGAAACATGAGCCGTCCTTGCATGACCCAGCGTTTACAGGTTGATGACCTAAACAACATTATTTAGAGGCACTTAACAAATGACACAGTTCTGAATATTCAGAATGACTAAAGTATGAAGAGAATGTAACGTTATTTGAAACCTGTGATGGAGAAACTTCTGGAGTTTGTGGCGCGGAGAAAGGTTGGGGTGTGTGTGCTGTTGAGAGGGACTGTTTGTTTTGGAGCACAATGGCGATCTCAGTCTGTCCCTCTCTCTTCGGCCCGAATGGGAATCATGTTTCCTCCGTGTAGATGATCCGGTTTGCACACCGGCTCCTGGGCTTTTACCCTGATACTCGAGTTAAATGTTAGCCTACCTTTATTGACGAGCGGCGAAGAGAGTAGCCTTTCTTGCTAGGTGAGATTCACAGTGAACAAGGTTGAATTGCACAAAGAGATGCATTTCGAAAACAAACCTGTCATTATTTCGAGTGTTTAACACTGAAAACACACCCTAGGAAACAATTAAGGGATCAGGGAGAACAATTTATCTGGAAATCTCCACAAACAGGACACTGCTATAAGCATTAGCATTAGCATTTTTATTGCCAGTATCCTTCATCATAAAACAGTGATAGACAAATAAATAATCTCAATAACCAAAATAGTAATGTTTTTAATAAGAATAGTTTCATTCATTAAAATGTACATATGGAATATTTATTTATATTAAGAAAAATATTTTACATGTTTTTTTTTTTATGGGAAACTTGTGTCTATCCCTAATTAAAATAAACAATTTGTCCCAAACTATGCTACTGATTGACTATTATATTAGCCTATATTTATGATTCAAATATCCATCCTTGTTACTTGGAAACACGACAATTGCATTACTTTACAATAAGGTTTCAATAGTTAAGTATATTTAACATGAATTAAAATTAACAATTACTTCTACAACATTTATTAATCTAAATTAATGTTAATTTGAACACAACACATTATAATTTAATACATTATAATTATCATTTAATACATCCACAACAGAACCAGAAGACAAGCTGCACAATGCTGAATAAAGTCGTAGTTTTTGTTATTTTTGGACCAAAATGTATTTTCGATGCTTCAAAACATTGTGTCACATGGACTACTTTGATGATGTCTTTATTCCCTTTCTGGACAAGGGCAGTATACCGTACACACATGTTCAATGGAGGGACAGAAAGCTCTCGGACTAAATCTAAAATATCTTAAAAGATGAACGGATGTCTGACGGGCTTGGGACGACACGAGGGAGAGTCATTAATGACATAATTTTATTTTTAGGTGAACTACCCCTTTAACACAACCTCTTAATTTAAAAATAAATTGGATTTTAAGCACCTCTTTTCCTGATCATTTGCTGTAAACAAAAAAATGACATGATGTTTTAGAGTTTGAACCGTCTTCATGAGAAGTGCCAGCTGTATTGAGTTGTGCTGCCTGAACCTGCCCGACATCAGAGCAGGAGAATGAGGTTTGGTGTGGTTTGGCAGCAGAAGCTGATATGAGAGAAGCTGCTGGTGAAGGGTGTGTTCATGTATTAGATGAAGGGTGGAGGATCAGGATTACATTATGCAAGGACACTGAGTTACATCATTCACAAGTCTAATCCTTAAATGTGGCACGATTTCCTTCCTCAGCCCTGAAACAACTCATATGCATTTAAATAGTTAAATGACACTGAAGTACACTCACCTACCATACTAATACTGCGTTTGACCCCCTTACGTGGCATTGATTCAACAAGGTGCTGAAAGCATTCTTTAGAAATGTTGGCCCATATTGATGATCTATGTTATGTATGTCCTGGATTAGATTGAGAGTGTGTGTATTTTGCATGCATGCATTGCTTAGTTGCATCCATCTGCATGATCATTTTCTCATCATGCTTTCTGTCTGCATTGCACAGCGGAGTTGCAGGATGAGGAAGAGGAGCAGGAGGAGGAAGGTAGTGTGCTCAATGCTGTTGCTAAAGCTACGCCTAATAATAAAAGAGGTTTGCCAGAATGGACTCAGAATTAATAAACAGATTATGTTGTCTGGTGAATCATGAATTGTGTCATGCTAAAATAAAAATAGATAAATGGTGTTTTGCATAAAAACAAATATTTTGGATATTTTATGAAATTCAATGCTTAATTTTTCACACCATCAAATTATTTTTCATGATCGAAATATTTATTAGATAATTTCTTTTGATCATGGGGTGAAATAAAAAAATCCTTTATTTGTGTGCATGTATTGTGCACATTCTATAAATATTTATCATCATTTTGACTCACTGTAATGAATTCAAAGACATATATAAAACAAAGGTTTTTGACTGTTTTAAAAGAAAATACCTTTTTAGTGTTTAATTCAATGTGTTAATTCCCATATCTTTGTAATTATTTGTGAAATTCCAGAGTGAAAATTGTTAAATCTTACACCATTTTTTAAAATATAAATACTATAATTATAATCACTCAGTTAATAATTATAAAACACACAAATCATAATGATTCAAAGGAAAGACTTTAAAACAGCGTGTTTTCGGATAAATCACTGTTTATGCGTTCATTTTTAGTGCTTGTAGAGGCCGCTGGGAAGCAAACACCCCATTTAGGTAAAAAAACAAAACACAGGATCAGCAAGTGCTTCTAAACAACACCCAATAATTATACTTTCACAAAGTCTTTGATTAAACCAAGTGTGACACATTTGAGAAGAAGTTTCGAACAATGCCGGCTATTGTGTGCTTAATGGACCGATCCATCATGTCTAAAACCCTCCTGGCTCAAAATGACCCCAAAGCAGCTTTGACCTCTCTGAAATATAGGCCTATGCTAATTGTATCTATTATAAGTAGTCGAAAAAATGCACTCTTTGTGTTACGGACTTGAAAGGTGACCACCCGAATTTTTTTGAACAGGTTTAGACAAAATAGCTTTTAGTCCAGATTCCCGTGTCTGATAAGAAGCGTGTCTCCAGGGCTTTCTCCGTAGATTAGCACACTGCTGACAGGTGACATGCTGTCTTTTCTTATTTAGATGCGGCCGAGGAACATGGAGAGGAAGGTAAACCCGATATACCATCAGACTCATTTAAAACTGGTCCCCGATGAGCTATGTAGGTAAACCACCTACATTACTTGTATGCAAGTGTTTTCATAAATCCACATTTCTCCCTTTCCCTTATGCAAACTGAACGGTACAGGAGAAGCAAAGCCAAAGCATAAGTGAGTGGTTTTTCAAATATAAATTAATATAAAAGAAAAAGACAGGTTTATGTTAGGACTTTTATTTTGTATCACATTGTTCTTTTCCTGTATATGGTTCCCGCTCTCTGTCTCCTAGGTTTCTGATTGTTGTCATGGTTATGATTTGCACCTGTAGTTGCATTTGTTTAGTGTAATTTGTCCGTTGTGATTAATTAAAGACTTTAATTTTGACTTTAAATTAGTATTTTCTAGTGTGTGTATGTTGCTTACCACTCAACATGATACATGATACTATAAAATAACCAAAAATTCCCAAATAAAAGACCGTTTTATGAGAAAAAAAAACAAACAAACAAACTAATGCATTGTTGTTGATTTTTAAGACCCTTTGTGCCAGCTTTAGTGCCTCCCAAAATTCCTGATGGAGAGAAAGTTGATTTTGATGTGAGTACATTTTGTTATATTTTATTTTATTATTTTTTATTTGTATTTTATTTATTTATTTTATTATTTTTTGAATTATTTCATTTTAATTAATATTTTATTTTATTATTATTATTCTTTAGTGGTATATTATACTGCACCATAAACATGAAATTTCCTTCTTTTGTTTGCTCTGTCTACCAGCTATAGGCAGCAAATACTTTCTCAATACGAACATACGTTTACTGTCATACCAATAAATCACACTCAACTTCCAGTTATTAAACTAAACAATGTAATATGACCTGTAGATTTGAGTAGCACTGCCATTAAACAAGTAGTTTTTACTGCCTAGTCACCTTTAAACATGTATCCTTAGGATATTCACCGCAAACGTATGGAGAAAGACCTGACGGAGCTGCAGACTCTCATTGAAGTGCACTTCGAGAGCAGAAAGAAAGAAGAAGAAGAGCTAATCAACCTCACCCAGCGGATTGTAAGGCATTTGACAATTAATAATTAAATACCCGACCGCTGCAACCACGATAAGACAAGTGAAATGACCCTGCTGAATGACATGCCAGACCAGTCGGGTTTGTTGGTAAACAGTGAGTTATACTGGTCCACCGGCTCTAACCAGTTCCAGCAGGACTGGGATTATCCTCACAGAACCAGACTAACCACTACAACCTAGAAAACTGAATACATTCAGTAGATACACTCATATAAAGGCTTGTAAAGCTGAAAGAACTCACTCTTGTACAGTACATCCAAAAGTACTTTTACCAAAGCAAAATATATGAGTGTCTTAGAAAACTATATCAAATTATATGTGAGTCTCCTGGAAGTGAATGCATAAATAACATTATTTTGCAAGTAAGAAAGATTATTCCATTCATGCACTGTAAAAAAAAAAAAAAAACTTGTTGGTTTAACTTAAAAAATTAAGTAACCTGGTTGTTGAGTTAATACAATGAAAGAGATTGATTTAATCATCTGAAACTCAAAATATTATGTTATCTTAACCACATAAATGATTTAAGTTGATTTGACAAAAGAAAAAAACATTATTATTTATTTTTTTATTATTTTATTTTTTTTACAGTGTGTGATAAAACGTGACATAGATTATCACTAAATAGATTCCAGATCCCATTCTGGAAATAAAATAAACATGATACACTACCGTTCAATTTGATCTTGCAAAAACACTTTTTATTCAGCAATGATGCATTAAATTGATCAAAAGTGACAGTAAAGACATTTGTGATGTTTCAAAAGGTTTCTATTTCAAATAAAAGCTGTTCTTTAGAACTTTCTATTCATCAAATAATCCAAGGATGGAAAAGTATCAGCTTCCTCAAAAATACGAAGAGTGTTTTCAACACTGATAATAATCAGTATATCATCATATTAGAGTGATTTCTGAAGGATCGTGTGTGTGTTGTGATCATCAGGAGAACCGCAGGGCCGAGCGGGCGGAGCAGCAGCGGATCCGCACAGAGCGGGACAAAGAGCGGCAAAACAAACTAGCCGTAAGTCTCTTCAAGAGGACGTCATGGCGATCCTATAGGAGGAAACAGTCGCTTATGGGATTGGTCATTTATTTATTTCAGGAGGAAAAAGCACGAAAAGAGGAGGACGAGGCCAAGAGGAAGGCGGACGATGACGCTAAGAAGAAAAAGGTTCTCGCAAGCTTTCAGTACACGGGATACATGCAGAGGGTAAGACGCCTCAGAGGTCAAAGGTCACAGAGATCAGGTCACCAATGCTCATGTGCTGTTTGGATTTGATTGACAGACAGATAAAAGGGGCGGACCTAAGAAGCAAACTGAGAGAGAGAAGAAAAAAACCATCCTGAGTGAACGGCGTAAGGAAATGAACGTGGAAAACATGAGCGTCGACAAGCTGAGGTAAAATCGTCAAACACCTCAGCCAGCGGGGAATATCCACCTTATTCTATTTCCCATGATTCATAGCGGGTTCAACTGATTAAACGGTTTTCTACTTACGGTTTAAGTGTTTGTTTACAGTCCAGACATTAGGAAAAGATCAGTCTACACATGCGTTTTATATTTAATATGAGCCAAATACACTTAACACAACAAATCTTTAACTTTTAGGTGGCGAATTATTTTAATGAATTACACTGCGCAAAACAAAAGTAATAGCCCACTGACCGGATGAAGAAGGGCCGGCCTCCACAGAACTTAAAAATATTATTTTTATTTAATTTTTTGTGTTCGCATTTATGAGTTACGAACGTGACAGTTCTCCATTACGGACATGAAGCGACTTTAAAACTTTTCACAGAGAAAGCCTTAATTTTTTTAAAGTGAATTTTGTTTTTTATTAATTGTATCTTAATTTCAATCAATATTTCGACAACCAGTTGCCTGGTTTTAATAAATAAGAGGTAAATATAGTAGAAAATAGATCATCATGACGGAGGCGCTGGTGCGGACTCTGGTCTCATAAATGAAGCGAAACTCGGCGTATAATGTAGCTTACTTTTCCTGAGTCAACTAAAAATATTTAAAATATGTTTTTCAGGAAATTATAAAGTTGTTGATATAGTTTCTGTTTCTCCTGTAATCTCGTACTGGAATAGATTATTCAAAAATTTATATTGGGAAAAGATTTGGTCCTTACCAGAAAAATATTTTTAACAAATTAAGTAAAAGAAGCGTCCTTCAAAATAATAAATACATTTTACCCTGCTAAATATTTCATGATTAAATATAAAAGTAATATTGACACGAGATGCTCATTTTGCCGAGTTCACACAGAAACTGTTTATCTTTTTTGGTCATGTTTCTACACTAAACAATTATGGGAAAATATGTCTTTTATTAAAGACAATGTCCAGCAAGATATTTCAGTAACCTTTGAAGAGGATACTCTGATTCTAACTGTAACTTTGTTACTAATTTAATTTATTTTATTGGCAAATTCTATAAATATGAATGTAAATTCACAAGCTATTTTTTATTGGGTTTTTTTTTTTTTTTTTTTTTTTTGCAAGAATTTGAAATGTACCTTAACACCATCTCATCCTCAGTAAATAAGAAAGCATTAAAAACATTTTTATATGTATAAAATATCTTAATATCTTATTTATTTATTTATTTGTTTTTATTTGAGCAGTAACCATTCAGCTCAAAAGGAGAGAGCCGAAGCAACAGAGCTTAAAAACATATATCTTAATCTCTCTCTCATTTATTATAATTTCTTCTTTGTTTTAGATAATTACACATTGCTAACTTCTTTTCTCATTTCTCAATTTTGTACAGACATGTTTTTCAATTTTTTTTACAGAATTTTATGCTATGATTGTCATCTCTGTTCTGTTTGTAAGCATAAAAAAAAAAGAAACTGCAAAATAAAAAAAAGAATAATGTGGATGGCGAGGTATAGCTTTAACATGTGTTAGTTAATCATGTTCTCATCATGCAGAGACGCTGCCAACGAGCTCTGGACGTGGATGCGCCAGCTCGAGGCCGAGAAGTTTGAGCTGCAATACAAATACATGTGCCAGAAGTACGAGGTGAGGTTTCTTACACACAATTATTGCGTCACCAGATCGAGATGTTAAAGACGAAAGTCACAACATAAGAACAGGACGTTTATAACATGTCATACATCCATCACATGCAGTCACACCCAGCACAGACTCGACGCGACCGCTTGCCGGAGGCTCAGTTTGATTGACATGAGAAGAGGTTTTATACAGCAGTGATTCACCGAGATTAATTCATACGTGTGTTTTTTTTTTTGTCTTATAGATCACCGTTCTCAGGAATCGAGTCAGTGACCATCAGAAAATGTAAGTGGCTGTGATGTGAGATGATATCCCCATGCATTATCAATCGCTATTCACACCACAAATGAAAATACCCAGTTTTTATACTTTATTTTGGTGAGGTTGTTCACATGACCCGTATCAGACAGAAACCTGATGATTAAAGTTAGAAGAACTTTGGGTAACGCTTTAGATTACAGCCTGGAACGTACTGTGTAATTATGGGGAATTTACAGTGTAACTTTCTGTTATTATAGTCTACAATAAAATATAAGTATAAGGGAACAATATTTTAAATTTGGGGACAAAAGGGGAACAGCCAGGAGAATTAAAAGCAAATATTTATAATGTAAGTATTAAAGAACAGGGGGTGCTTATTCTACTATTTATAATTTGGGAGCATTTTAGCGAGAACATACACTGCGTACCTTTTTGTAATAATTGTGTACCAGTATAGGCTTTTAAAAAAATGACAGGGTACATACAGTATCTATGCATTTATAAAAAATAAAAATAAAATGTTTTTTTTTTATTGCAAAAGTGCAGATGTTTATGTTTGGGCTAAGATTATTGTGATTTTTTTTTTTTTTTTAAATGTACTGGGAAATATATCTGGTTTCATGTGCAGGGAAAGTGGAGCTTGTATAATAAATAAAGGTTTCCGAATCAGTGATATAAGATTGTTTGTGTGCATTTTCCTTTAACAAGAGGGTAACAAACACCACTACATGAAACAAGAGTATCTTTCCCCAATATTTAAGCAAAAGTTGCAATAGTTTTCATTTTCAGTGCACTTTTGTTATTTTTTTTTTTTACTAAATGCATAAAAATGTACCCTCACTGTAAAAAATAGTTATCACAATATATTTTCTTTTGTCAAATCAACTTTATAATAATTTATTTAGTTGAGATAACTTATTATTTTGAGTTTCTGATGGTTAAATTAATCTCCTTCATTGTGTTATCTCACTTTTTCCAGTTCAATCAGCTTAAAATTTTAAGGCAACCAGGTTACTTACTTTTTTAAGTTAAACCAACAATATTTTTTTACAGTGTAGTAATCACAACATTTTTTCGTTTGTCAAATCAACTTAAATAATTTATTTAGTTCAGATAACTTATTATTTTGAGTTTCTGATGATTAAATTAATCTCCTTCATTGTATTAACTCACTTTTTCCAGTTCAATCAACTTAAAATTTTAAGGCAACCAGGTTACTTACTTTTTTAAGTTAAACCATCAATATTTTTTTACAGTCCTGTCATTTTTAAAAAGCCTATAGAGTATGAACTGGTTCACCATTATTTCAAAAAGGTGTGCTCATGCTAAATTGCTCCATTAATTATGCAGTACTTTCCGGGCTGTAATCTAAAGCGTTACTGAACTTTGCACTAGTAAAAGAGTCTCTTATAGCTCACCAAAGATGCATTTATTTGATCAAAAATACAATAAAAACTGTAAAATTATGCTGAATTAAAGCTGAATTACTCCAGTCTTCAGTGTCACATGATCCTTCAGAAATCACTCTAATATGAGGATTTACTGAAAATAAACATTTCTGATTATTATCGGTGTTGAAAACAGTTGCTTCAGATTGTTGTTGAAACCGTCATGCATTTTTTCAAGATTCTTTGATAAATATAAAGTTCAAATGTACAGCTTTTAGTTGAAATCGAAATCTTTTGTAACATTATAAATGTCTTTGCGGTCACTTTTATGCATTTCTTTTACAAAAATCGCACTGACCCCAAGTGTGCATTCATATTTTTAAACATATCACCTCATATAGTGCAATCCATAAATGAGGATCGAGCATGACCTTATGGTTCAGATTGTTCTGCTATTCTTCTATTGTCAATACAGCCGCATTCAACCTGTCTGGGTGTTAAATATCAAGCAACTGTTCAACAAGAAAACAGTCCTAAAATAACATATTGACCTCAGTGAAGGCCTCGGTAAAGACCTAGCTAAGATGCGTAATGCCGCTAAGATAATCTAGCATAGCATCGTGTTTCCAGAACTTTCTGTGTGAAATAACAGTTGCTGCTTTGTTGTAGCATGACCATTGATCAGATTGTGATCCTAAAAGCAGACAGATGACTCATTGTGTACATGCGAAGTACACGGTTCAATGAGAGGATCAGATGGTAATATGCTGGAATTTTGATACGCATTTTTACTGAAGGATCATATTTATACGGCATTGAAAGGATAACATGTTACCATTCCAAAACATGATATTATATGGGAGCTTATCGCAATTTATCTCACAATTCGGACTTTTTCCCTCACATTTGCGGTTTATAACTCACAATTCTGGCTTTCTTCTCACTTGTGAGTCAGAATTGTTAATCAAGAGTTAGAATTATGAAACATAAGCTTGCACTTTATGAGAAAGAAATCAGAATTGTAAGATAAAAGTAGCAATTCCTTCTTAATTCTTTGTTCCATGGAGAAACAAGCTTTTATATAATATATTTTTATGCAAAATATGCACGTTTTTTGGTCAACTTAAGTATATAGTCAAACTGAATCAATCCAATGAAATTAAATGTATGCAAAAAATAATTTAATAATCAGATACAAATGATTACACCGAATTACCATATTTATTTATCATAAATTGCACTGTAAGATACTTTAAAGAATATTACATCATGCTACTGTCCAAAACATGCTATTATCATATTTCATATAATATATATATATATAAATGTGTCAGGTTATATTAATCTAAAACAACTTGTTTAATTCAAGTAAAAAACACTGTAAAAAATATCCGTGATTTTAACAGTAAAAGACTGTAAAAATGCTACAGTGCAAAACTGTTAATTGGTTAACAGAAAGTTTCCGTACTTTATACGGTAAATAACTGTGATATAATTTTACAGTAAAATACCGTTAAATTTACAGTTTTTGAAAGTGAAAAAGAACAAATCGTTGTATAATTTACAGATATCAATAAGTTGGTAAATCAACATCTTATCAGAAAATAAAATACGGTTTATTACTGTAAATTTTAAGTTAAGTCTGTAAAACGATTAACGTTCCTACCGTATTTTTAACGGTAAAGTTCTGGCAACCACAGCTGCCGTTTTTTTACCGTAAAATTTACGTTTTATTTTTTACAGTGAATATATTATTTAACATTAATGAGTCATTCTATAATGCTATAAACATAATTGAATTATGTGGCAAAATGAAATTTAAATTACACTGTACACTGTAAAAAAATATTGTTGGTTTAACTTAAAAAATTAAGTAATCTGGTTGCCTTAAAATTTTAAGTTGATTAAACTGGAAAAAGTGAGTTAATACAATGAAGGAGACTGATTTAACCATCAGAAACTCAAAATAATAAGTTATCTGAACTAATTAAACAATTTAAGTTGATTTGACAAAAGAAAAAAAATGCTGTGATAACAAATCTTGAAAATATTTTTTTTTACAGTGGTACTGCCATGCTCGTGACACATTATAATGCAAAATATAACAAAAAATTGTCAGATAACTTCTTTAATTTAAGCAATATAGGGTACACTTTAATATTATTAAATCCCACAAAAATAACAGAATTGAATGCATGATACTAAAACATATGTGGGGGTGTAAAGCTCGTTTTGCATGCATGTGGACAGCTGCTGAACACTAACCCGGAGGTACAAACCAGCATTAACTAACAAACCAGCAGTCGATCCCATCATTCACAGGACTTAACAAAGCCTTAGTCCAACCCAGTGTTCAGATCGGTGATGTATCTCACGCCAAACACACATGATCCTGCTTGACTCATGCCAAATCTGTTCAGACTTGCCGAGTTGTGGCTAATCTGAGCGGCACTGAACTGAGATCAGCTTTAACAACCGCTGGAGCCTCGACTGTGGGAATAACACAGGAGTTTATGATGTCTCTACAGGCTCCAGTTATGATGCTGCCGATATCCACATGTCATGTCAGCGCATTTAAAGCTCTGTTATGATACAGGAAGAGCGTGAGCATGACAGATCCGGCAGCTGTTCAAGGGGTTAAAGGGGTCAGACAGACCCGGGGCTCCTGGGAGATCTGCTCTAAGCCACCCGAGATGCTGCAAAATAACACTAATCTGATGCTGGCTTAAATACATGGATTTTGTTAACACCTGATGTGCTACCGGCATATACTGTATATTAGGTCATGCTACATTCCTGCAAATAAACACATGGATCCAAGAATCTTCACTTTTAAAAGAACTTTTGCTGATAATTTACTCACCCACATGCCATCCAAGATGTCCATGTCTGAAAAGAAATTAAGGTTTTTGATGAAAACATTCCAGGATTTTTCTCCATATAATGGACTTCAATGGGGTCCAAACGGTTCAAGGTCTAAAAGACACTTTCAGTGCAAACTGAAAAGTGTTCAAAGGGTTTTAAATGATTTCAGACGATGAATACGGGTCTTATCAAGTGAAACGAGCGCTCGTTTAATAAATAAATAACAAAGTTTATGTTTTATAAGCTCAAATGCTCGCCTTGCTCTGTTCTGTGATGCGTCTTTGTGACTGTCCTGTTCGAACTCGTTCATCAAAATGAACGAATCTTTTCCAGAGTCAAATTGTTCATTTCGTTCATTGAATTAACCAAATGACACGAAAAAAGATTCGTTCATTTTGATGAATGAGTTTGAACAGGAGAGTCACGAACTCGCATCACAGAGGTGAGCGTTTGTGCTTATAAAACTTAAACTTTTTAAATGAGCGATCGTTTTGCTAGATAAGACCCTTATTCATCGTCTGGTGTCGTTTAAAGCCCTTTGAAGCTGCACTGAAACTCTCATTTGGACCTTGAACCATTTGGTCCCCATTGAAGTCCATTATATGGAGAAAAATCCTGGAATGTTTTCATCAAAAACCTTAATTTCTTTTCGACTGAAGAAAGAACGACGTGGACATCTTGGATGACATGGGGGCGAGTAAATTATCAGCAAAAGCTTTTTTAAAAGTGAACTACTCCTTTAAGTTTAACAAATAACCTTTTTATTCTTTGTGACCTTGTAGATCACGACCTCAAATAGGTCACATGTCTATTCTGATCTGAAAATCAATATGCAACCATATTGATAATTTACACATTATTTATTTAAAATAAATAAATAATGCATTTTTGTTTTTCCCCCTTAGAACAAAAGGATCCAGGACTAAGAGAGGACTAAGAAAATAATACAGAGATGCCAGCAAACTCATCATACAACATCATTTGCATTGATAATACGTTTAAATATAATTCTGACTGAACTGAAGACCTACAGAGAAAGAAATCAGCAGTCTGAAGAGAATGAACCGAGTGAAGCTGGCTTTTAAGATTAAATGATCTTGTTGATTTAATGAATCATATGCATAATGTGAAAGTTGGCATGCATTTTCAAAGCACGACTATAAATCAAATATTACCGGGAAGTAAAGATGTTACAGTTAATCAGTTAAATCAGTTTCTTTTTGCATGGGTGAAATTGTGATTCTGTAAAAGTTATAAATATTTAACAATAAAGTGTGACAGAGACATGGCACTGTTGAAAACTTTATTGAAAGTCAATGTGAGCTGAAAAACATGATTTATCCACACCCTAAACAGAACAACCACAAGATTTGTAATGATGAACAGATGTCAAAATAGAGACGCCTTGATATACATTTATATTGCTAGATATATATATAACAATATATATATAACAATGTATAAAATATAATATAATTATATGATATGAACCTATAACATATAAAGTGACTGTAAAATGTCTTTAACATACTAAAGAGTAACAATGGAGTATTTAACACTATAAAAACTGCCAAACTGAATGAAAATACTACAGACATGTGTCAAAATGAAGACAAAACAACAGTTTTTGTCATTGCATTCATCATGCATTGTTCTTAACAAAAAAGCATCTACTGCCCCAAAAGAAATTAAAGCTCATTCTTACCATTTCTTCTTAATACTTGAATGAAAATATTGATTTATTTACGCCTATTTTCATGGCGAAAACAACATAATTCATTCAATTAACAAAAAACTACTTAAGACATTTCGGGTTCTTAAACGACATTACAGTGCAATGCAATTAAAACGCCGTTCGTTTGTAAAGTGCGTCTCAGTCGACCACCTGGAAAGACTTGAAAGCTGCCGATGTGATGTCATTCACGAAGGACTTCTTATTCATGCCTTGCTGCAAGATAAACACACACGCCAGATTAGATATTTCACTGTGAATATTACTAAACATCAACAACAATCAATATGTAGAATTCAGACCATGCACTCTAAACAATACTGGGTTGTTTTAACCCAAATTTGGGTCAAATATGGACAAATGCTGGGTTAAAAACGTACTTAAAGTTGAAGTTGGGTTAAAATTTTAAATTACATTTTAACCAAATGTGGGCAAAATAGTTTTGATTTATTTTTTAAAAAATACTTCCCTTGATCTGAGCGGTACAAGACTTGGCTACTTTTCCTAAGTTTGCCTCCTGAACACACCATTTTTTTGACGCAATTCTACAATGTTAAGTGGGTGAAAAAAAACTTCTTAATCTTGTATTTGGGTCAAAAATGGGCACCCATAGAAATGAATGGGAAAAACTGTAATTTAGCCAAAATAAGACAGCAAAGTCACTTCATCTTTAGGTTTTAGCGCTAAGAACTTATTGGAACGATATTTTAATGTAGTTAAAAAATAAAACATAAAAATAAGCATAATTTACATAGAAAATATGGTACTTTTTGAAGTAAATAAATTCAAAAATACCCCACAAAAATAAAAAAACACCATAAATGGATAGACAAAACTTTATCGAAGACAGTGATATAACATTTATAATAAATAAAAATTAGGATCCCACATTTGTCCACAATTACAGGATTAAGGGCTATAAAGTGAATACGGTTTGAGGGCTACCCCAACATTTAGGTTTGTCCATATTTGACCCAAATTTGGGTTAAAACAACCCAGCATTGTTTAGAGTGTGTTATTAGCCAGCAGATGCTTGTGTACAAGTGCTGTGCGTTTTCCTCTCAATAACAAACACACACACAACAACAGTGAGAAAACAGCAGCTGGATGTGTTAGCGCTCATATTCACCACACACACTGTTGTGATAACGGTTTACACACTTTGGTCCACTAAATGTGCTTAATAAATCAAATGTGTTTTAAAATCAACAAATAAAATCTTGATTGACTGATAAAAGTATATTTGAGACTCTAAACTATATATATATATATGGCTGTGTTGCACTAAACTACACTATAATCTTTTATCTTTTTCTCAGCAAAAACGTCCTTCACTTAGAAACTAGTCATAGAAGTCGGGGAAGTTTTGTTAAAAGCTGTTCATTGGCAATAATAAAACAAAGAAGTGATTAATACATGAAAGTTCTCACATTAAATACAGTAAACATGATCTAACACCAGTATTTACCTGTATATGTGCACACAAAGACTAGCTAGACATTATCTGAGTATTATGAAACCAGTGAGGTTAGATTCTTCAGGTCATCTGCACACACACACACACACACACAGTCGGTGTGGTGTCATTGGTTTTCACCCGTAAGCACTCTCACACACACCTCACATCTAGTTCTCCGTACCACACCCATCCACTAATCCACACCCGCCCGACACACACACTGACGCATAATATCCCACAGCCAGCTTCGGGAAGGACATACACACACTGACAAACTCTCACACTACTTTTCTTATATACGCACGCTTATAAATAAGAGGTGTTTACATCTATAACTCACCACTTAACTGTCACCGTCCCACAGGTGGGACGTTTGCCACTATATTTTTAAAACAATAATATCTTAGTAAATACCTTAAATAATATTGGCAAACTATATATCATTTGAAAGCTTACAATCTCTAGTTTCCATATTTGGTGACTGATTTTCAAAATATATTACAGAGGAGCCATAATTTATCAATATAAAACAAGAATATTTTCATACTCATAAGGCGTGTTCAGACCTTTATTTAAAAATAGCAGTAAACATGAAAAATCATGAAAAAATGGTAGATACCTCAGTTTGTTTTCATGCCAAAAGTTCAAAAGATAGAATCCATTCAATTATTTTGGAAAAAAAGGTCTGAAAACTTTGAAATATCAAGAAAAAAAATAAATAAATTCACCATTTGTGACGTGGCAGCTAGCTATGACTTACATGCGTGTTCTTTGTATGTGTTTCTTAGAGGTTCAATTCATATCAAAATCTGCCAAACTTCCCATGCTACTTCTGAATAGGATCTCTACTTCAGAAATTGTATGAAAATTGTGAAAATAATGGTTCATATCACTCAAAACACGAATGGAAATGCAGACGCCCTTATATGGGCAGTAATGGAGTCTGGTTGTGCCCTAGTGGAAAAGTTTGGTACTGCGCTCAAACTAAATCTTACTGAAAGCTCATTTTTTGAGATATCAACCTAAAATTTGAAACACAACTTGTTCAGATTTTTGGCTTTGATCTTTCTGCCGTTTTAGAGTAGCCCAGGTTTTGAAAATATATATTTTATGTAAAATATGAATAATTAATATTTTTACATTGTACATTTCCATAAACTCAAACTTCTATAACTTTTTTTCTGTTTCACTTTCTTAATTTATTTCACTTCTACAAAAATCTGCCAAAATGTCTTCTTTAAAACAAGACCAATCATATGTCTATATTCCAAAGCATTCTTGAATTACAACCATTTAAGTTCGAAATGTGCATTTTCATGTCTATTCAAAAAAGGGGGGGTGACAGTTAAGAGGTTAAACACATATTTAATCAGTTTCAGGAACTGTTTACTGTACATCTCCAAAGAAGCTTAAGAAACAGTTTTGATTCAAAGTTCAAAGCCAATATTTTGGAGCAGATATTTGGCAGATCTGACTTATG